GGAATACAAACAGAGACCTACGCGAGCAGTTGAGTCGGCCAAACTCAGAAGAGCATGGAGGTGGCCCGTCGTCGCAAGAGGCACGGCTACCACCGCCTACGGTGCCTACCGAGGTCCCTTTGGTCGCGTTCACACCCGCCTTAGTTGAGGTAATTGCTCAAGCTGTGGAGGATCGTGCACGAAAACAAAGGGCCCGCCAACACCCTATGCACCCTGGAATAATCGAGCCCGGCCCTCTGGGCAAGAAGCATGAAACTGGGTCAGTCGAAGTTAAGGGAGTCAGCGGACTCAATCCATACACTCGAGATTGGGCCCTGAAGCCACTCGGCGTTCTGTGCGAGAACGGTTGGGTGAAAAGGCCCCTGGCCAAGTCCCGCCCGCTCCGCAAGATGTGGGAGTCGGGGAAGAAAACGTCTCCGCACGACCGGCTAAAACTCAGATTCGACGAAAGAGGAAGAAGGAGGTGACCAAAAAACGTAGGGCTGAGTCTTAGAGGGAAGAAAGCACCGAGTCCACAGGGAATCAAGTCGGAAATTCAGATGAAGTGGCCAATCTGGCGCGTGAGATATGGAGTTTGAGGGATTGGATGGAGGAAAAGTCTAAGTCTCCCGGTCGAGCTTTGCTCACCGCTCTACCGTTCTCGACTGAAATTATGACATTCAAAATACCAGGGGATTTCAAGTTCCCGGAGCAAGCCACTTTTGACGGGACAGGCGACCCACGAGAACACCTCATGAGCTATCAGGCAAAAATGCAGGTATTGGGGGTCAAGGACCCGGTCATGTGTCGTGCCTTTTTGCCGACCTTGAAGGGGCCCGCCCAGAGGTGGCTCGTCTCTCTGCCACCTAGATCGTTTCGCAATTTCGAAGACTTCGCCGACCGATTCATGAGTCATTATGCGGCAAACGTTAAACCTTAGAGGGATCTAGTGCACCTCTTAGACATTCATCAAGAAGAGGGCGAGTTACTCAAAGTCTACCTCGTACGATGACAGAAGGAGGTTCAGGTCATAGAAGGAGTCAAGGAGCAAACCGCGCTCACATTCTTCATTGAGTCGCTACAATCTGGAAAACTTTACACTGATCTTTGTGACAACCAGCCGGCAACCTATGCGAAAGCCATAAATATGGCCAGTAAACGAGCCAATACGGAGGAGGCGGTCAAGTACAAAAGGCAACGTGAAGCGGGCAGCCCCTCTGACTCCAAGCGAACGAAGAATGAGGTAAGAGAAAAATATCCCAATGACCGACCTAGTCGCACGGAAGGGTAGCGGACTTTTGAGAGATCGCATATCCCCTCTTACCAACCGACCCCTACTCAAAAGGGTATGCCGAGAGCCCATTACTTTTACTGACAAAGATTTGCCATCCGGTCAAACACCGCATCGCGACACACGTGACACACTCATCTACTAACCATAATTATTTTTCCATCCACCTTTATATCATTAAATAAGAATTTGTAGTCAAGTTATCTTCTGCTTTTTCCTTGTTCTTTGGCCGAAAATCATCATCAGAATATTCTTCTTACCTCCGTTTTCTTCATTCGACTTCAGTATTTAGAAAAAAAAAATTCTTCTCCTATTCGTTTCAAGAGTTGAAACAATCAATTCAAGCCTAGTAAGTCTTATTTCGATTATTTATTTTTATTTTACGGGTAGAATAGAAATAAGGTTATAATTATTCACTTTTATGTGCTTATGTGGATTTTGTTGTGTTGTTGTTGATGATGGTTGGTGATAAAGAAGAGGATTTGAATATTGAGGCCTAGAAAAAGTATTGGAAGGAAATTTACACGTAAGTGGTTGTTCTTCCTTTTACTTTGCCCAAATTATTTTCCAAAGTGATGGATATTGTTAGGAATAAAGTGTAATAGTTTTGATATGCCAAATATGTATTTGTAGAACCCCCAATTTTATTTTTATAGGTTTAGTAGAGTCTTAGACCATGATCGGGAAATTATTTAATTTGCAAAAGAGAAAAACATAGGAAGATGCATGAAAATAGAATAAGAAGATATCAAGCCGAAAATCAAGAATTTGTTTGGAGAAAATGACAAATTGAAGAAGAAGATGAATAATATGAAATTCACGTCAATGCTACTAAAAAGGAATTCCTAGGAGAATTTTCTTTGAAGTAAATTAAGATTGGAAGATTGCATGAATTTGACTTGGAGATCAATCATCTATGGAAAGAAAGGAGTACACCAAAGAAGATTGGAGATGTAACTAATAAATCGTACGGATAAGTTGGAAGGTGCCTGATGCATTATGCGAAATGGCTCAAGTTCAAATCTCACCATTTATTTGAGAAGGCAAAATTAATTAAGCCTGATAGAGTTGATGGTGCCAATTACAATGGAGAAGTATAAAGCCAGTTTGAAGAGTGGTGTCAATTACAAAGCAGATGAAGTTCTACAAAGTATAAAGCCAGTTTGAAGAGTGGTGTCAATTACAAAGCAGATGAAGTTCTACAAACGGCTATATTATCTTTTCTGACATGCCAGCCAGAAGATAAGATAAGATCCCTGACAAAAAGATACAAGAATTCAAAAATGAGATCGTCTCTTGCCGGATGAAGATATGAAGACGAGACGGATGAAGATATGAAGACTTGAAGACAGAGCACAAGAGAAAACGAACTCACAAAAAAAAGAGCAAGAATACAAAGAGGAAAAGTTTCAATTGGTACAGAGCATACCAAAAAAAAAAAAATCTTCAAGTGAGAAAAGAAAAAGAACTCAGAGAGCTTCAAAGAACTCAGAGAGCTTCAAAAGAAATATTCTGAGAGCTCTATAAGGATGAAGATATGAAGACTTGAAGACAGAGCACAAGAGAAAACGAACTCACAAAAAAAAGAGCAAGAATACAAAGAGGAAAAGTTTCAATTGGTACAGAGCATACCAAAAAAAAAAAAATCTTCAAGTGAGAAAAGAAAAAGAACTCAGAGAGCTTCAAAAGAAATATTCTGAGAGCTCTAAAAGTAGAGCTAAACAAAGCATAAAAATCAAGTGATTTACATGATACATTCAAAGAGAGAAAAACACTCAGAGATACAGAGCTTTCACGAGAAATCACTCAAGAGTGTTCAATCTTCATCAACAAGAGACCTGCATCATATTGAAGATCATCTACAGAGTCTCAGAAGTTGGAAGCAAGAAGAAAACTTGTCCCTGAACAAGTGATATTCCTACGAGAGTGTAGGAAGGGAGGAAAGTAGCACGGAGCTGTGAAATCCTGGATTGTCACACAGAGCTGTGAGATCTGAAGCAGTAGTGTTGGAGACACTGGGCGTGATTAGTGCGGGCTTTGTGATCAAAGCACTAGATCACGGGATACGTTTCTACCGGAGTGTGGAAGACGGGGGGAAAGTAACGCGGAGTCGTGAAATCCTGGGATCGTAGCGCGACGACGTGAAACCCGAAGCAGCAGTGTGGTGTCACTGGGCGTGATTAGTGCGGGCTTGGTGATCAAAGCACTAGATCACGGAATTCATTGTATCTTGGAACCAAGAAGTGGTGTATATAGTGAATTGCTCTTGGAGATAAGAGCAAGTGGAGTAGGAGGATTACACCACCTCCGAACCACTATAATTGTCTTGTGTTCTTTGCTGTTTTCTTTACTTATTGCTCTTTACTTGCTTCTCATGAGATATACTTGACACAATCTCACACACACTTATCTTAATTTATTTACGCTACGTATCATACTCTAACAATCTAGTTAAGAGTTTTGGTTTCTATGTGCATTAGCAATTGTTGTGCTGTGCGAAAAAGTTTAAATGACTTAATTGTCTATTGAATGTTTTGGCTTATGAAATGACTTAATTGATTACTTATAAACATTTCTATACTTGAAATTTTGTTTTGTATAATGTAGTGACTAAATTTAATTATGATTTGGCGTAGAAATGAAAATTTTGAAATTATAAATATATACATATTCTTCTTGTATACATATTAATAAAAAAAAGAAATTCTTTTATTTATGAATGAATTGTACGGTTAGTATGTTTTGCTTAAAAAAATTATTATTATTGATTTCATTATGGCTTCCTACTATCCTACTATCCAACTATATAATAAAGCCATAAGAATTTGGCCAATCAAATAACTCCATTTTCCCGCCTACTTAAAGCTACGACGTTTCGTGGTATACAATTTTTTTTTTTCGATTAAATACATCCAGATTAGCTTTTGTAATAAATGAGTTTGTATTTCAATCAATTACTATGAACCTAAACTGTATACCATCAGCCACCTTTTGGGTTTCCCAAAATTGTGGGAATTTATTACCATACGCATAATAACACTTTAATACCCAAAATTGTCCTTGACTATAGTGGTTTTTCTCAATTTCGTCCTAAACGACTTTGGTGACCTAATACCGTCCCAGACTTTTGTGTTTCGCTCAATTTAGTCCTCCATTTGTTATTCCGTCAAATTGGTGTTAAATAAATGGACAATTCAGTATGTCAATATTGATCTCTCTTTACTTTCAACTTGTGAAGTGCGAAATTCCTCTTTCTTGTACGAATTACACCCAGAATTACTCCCGGACCTGCAAATCAAATTTTATATTCGCAGTTTTAGGAGTAATTCTGGGAGTAATTCGTAAAAAAAAAAAAAGATTTCGCAGTTCACATGTATGAGTAAAGAGATGTCAATATTAAAATTACTGAATTGTCTATTTATTTAACACTAAATGGACAGAATAACAAATGAAGGACTAAATTGAGCAAAAACACAAAAGTCTGGGACTAAATTGAGCGAAACACAAAAGTCTGGGACGATATTAGGTCACCAAAGTCGTTTAGGACGAAATTGAGAAAAACCACTATAGTCGAGGACGATTTTGGGTATTAACTCAAAAAAGTAAATTTAAAGTTAAATTCAAAAATTAAGTAGTTGCAGCCTTTGGTTTGCTTTTGCCGTTTCACTATCCAGTGCATCATCATTAATGTTTGAGGCTTTTTAGAACTCTAAATGCTGCATACTTCTTCTATAAAATTGTTTACAACCCAGCAGCTCCAGTATTTAACTGTGGAGAATGGAGGAAAATGGTGAAGCTGCATTTGGCCTGTTGGGAAAGCATTCACGAGGAAGAGGACAATTGCTACAAGATTAAGATTAACCTTTGTATCCACTTTCAACTTTCTTTTGAAAACAAATATGGTTTCAATGTTTATCTTTGCAGGTCCTTTGAAATATACCCGAGCGCAAAGGAAGCGATGCACTCAAGAGCAAGGAGATTGTCTTTCACGATTCTGAGGTAATTTAGAAAAAAAAAAAAAGAATTACCATTCAGTAAGCACCATCTCGTATAGAAGCATCATTACTGATTTAAATTACATGCATATGCAGAGAACCTTAGTCTAATTTTGACATCTATTTTTTTTTTTTTTATATATTTATGTATACAAACATATAGCAGGTAATCAGGTATACAGTTCTCTGCATATGTTGAATCTAATTGCATTTTTTTTTTTTGGCTTTGGGCAGCTAAATGCGGCAGTTTGTTCACATGAATAGCATTTTGGATGTAAGTACATGGGTTTATTTGTACTGTTGTATTATAGATTTGGGAGTTCATTAGTCATTACAGATAAAAAAACTACAGAAACACTGTGAACTTATTTGGTGTCTATTTTTATTAGTTTCCCTTTTGCATATTAATATAGTACATACCTTGATGAATACATTGTTGAATTGTAGCGCCTAGGGTATGTTTTAAACCCTGAAGGGATGGAGTTCTAGAGAGGTGTTGGAGAAAAAAGATGACAGGAAAGTTCTAGACAAAGAGGCAGAGCACCACTGTGGCCATCTAAAGGATATTTGATATTGATGGTGAAGTCTAAAGGAACTACAGCCACAGTAGGCAAGAGGAAGCATCACAGGGTTTGAATAAAGGATATTTGATACATGTTCAAGTCTCAAAAAGTAAGATTTATTAAATTTCCTGTGCATCACAGTGTTTGAATATTGTTTTTACACGGAAGCATTACAGGGGCATGAATGGAGTATTTAGTTTGAAAAAAGTAAGAGATGTATTAAATTTTCTGTGCATATTTAAAATGTATTATTTCTTATACCTTTTTATCTAAAATTTTATTATGGGATAGGGAGGTTTCTGAGTTAGTTGGAGTCCCAGCAAGCACTTTGTATAACAAATACAATAAGGTATCCTAATATTCTATACTTATTGGTTTATTTATCTAAAAATCTACCTATGTTTTACTAACACTATTTTTAAGGGCACTGTTTATATATGATATCCCCCCAGAACTGGAAAAAATGATTCATGGCTATGATATTCAATATTGGATTTAAGAAAGACCAACAAAGGGGTCCTACCTCAGGTTTTACTATGATGACACTTAGATGAACTATTAGATGAACTATTAGATGAACTATTAGTGGATACCTACTGTTCTATGCTCAAGGAACACCAAGAATACCTATTGTAACAAATACATTCTAATATGTATCTGCATACTTTCTAAATAGTAAAGTCCCAAATACATTCATATTTACAGCCATCATTAGGAAAACACTTCATATTTTGAAAAAAGAAAACATCATTTCACCAAAAATCTATGTTGATTAAATCATTGTTACAATTTGTTAAGGCAAAATATTGTAGTGAAATACACCCCGTTGCTAGAGGATGGCATTATAAGGATTCACATATTTGGAGGAGAATGGTGGAAATAATGGACAAAGTGGAACCTGAAATACAGTGGGAGATTAAGGAAGGGAAATTAAATGTGTGTTGGGATAATTAGACAGGAAAGGAGCAATGGCAACACTGCTGAATCTGAGAGGAAAAAGGAAAGCTAAGGAAAAGTTGAAAGATGGGGTTGTGAATGGAGTTTTTGATTTGAGAGGGGACAAACAGGCCTGTCTGGAAGCTTTCTAAATCTGATTTTACATTCAAAACTGCAAAAAGGCTGATGAGACAACAAGGGCTTATCAACACTGGAGGATTATGGTGTAAGAAAATTTGGAACAAAGGGATTACATGGAAAATGTCATTCTTAGCTTGGGGGGTGTTCAAAAGGAAATTGCATGTAGATGATGATCTAAGAAGAATGGGATACCAAACAGTCTCCTAGTGTCCATGTTGCATTAGGCCTGGCTGTGATACATTGCAGCACATATTTGGAACTGGGGAAACTGATACTTCAAAGAGTAGCTGAGGGGAGGTGAGCTGAGGTCATAAGTCCAAGAGGGACTGTCTTATCCCAATAAAGGGTTACTGAGGGTATACAGATTAACCTTGGCCTTTGGAAAAGAAAGAGTGGTAGTTGAGAGGGTTATAAGGGAGGTGTAAGCTTGAGAAAGAATGTCTTTTTTTAAGGCATCAAAATGATATTATGTTCAGAATGATATTATGTTCATCATCTGCATGCCATTGATTTTAAAAATTTAGCCACATATATGATGCAATCAGAAATTTGATTTCAGCAAATCAATACTTTTTAAATAAGTAATCTGCAAATGACAGATTGAAAGTTCAATCTCTCTATTTGCTGAAATTTTGCACTTCACCGTACTGAAAAGGGGATATTAGGCAAATTTTTAAATACTTTTAAAATTACTTGAATAAATAAACTATATTGCAAGCAATAAATAAGTGAAATCATCCACTGCAGATTGACTACCAAAAAGTATTTTAGATGACAATCATATTAGGACAAAAAACGTTTTCGAAACTGTATAAAAAATTGTGTGTTTCATCAGTCTCTGAATTTTTAAAACAGAAACAACAAAATCTAACTTCATGTTTTTAAAAAAAAAACTATATGAGACATTGAGGGCATAAGAATATATTTTTCATAATCTGGTCTGAATTGAAAATAAAGCCTTTTAAGTTATATAAAAAAAAGGTAATATACTTTAAGAAAACTCATAAAGTAATTAGGTTTTAACTTGGAAAATGCTGTAAACATTGTTCCATTATAATTGAATATTTAAATTGGAATATTACCTGATGTTGTCTTCTTCTATTAAGTTCTTATATGCCTCTTGCAATGATAGCCTTTTTAATCTTCCTGCTCTGTAATGAAAAAATTGAATAAATAACTTCGATTAAACTATGTTTTGTCATTTGCATGTTCAAGTCAAAAATAATTTCTGAGCATATAAACTATCTGTGAGCATAATAAATAATTTCACCTCCAAAATCCTTCATAAATAGTGATGTAAATACAGACTAAACTTCAGAGAAAGTTTTAAAAAATTTACTTTAAGTTTTAGTAAAACCCTAATTCAAATACAGAAATAAAACGATAATAATTTCTTAATCTAACAAACACAAAAAGATATAGAAAAATATATAATAAAATAAAGAGTAAACGGACTGTAGCAAGTAAAGGGATAGGCTAACTTAGCTCAGTGAGGGTTTTCGACTGCTTCCTCAAACCGACGGTGCGGTTAAACTTCAATTTTATGAACTGAAGATGAAGATCACTAGGCCAAAATTCCATAACTCATCTAAGTCACAAAATTAGGAACAGCGAACTACGTAACCTCGAGTTGATGTTGAGACCAAATCAGAATCTAAGAAGCAAAACATAAACAATAACTGTAGAAGTTAGGGTTGAAGGTAGATTTTCGGACAGAGGTAGAGAATTGGGAGTGAGGCGAGAGAATTTCGGACAGTTATAGTTTGGTGTTTTATAATATTTAATATGCTTCTATAATACATTTATACATATCATATTATATATAAGATCACAAAAATGTTATTCAAATTTTACTAATAAAAAATATTTAAGGTTTTATATTTCTTCATACTTTAATATTTATTATACATCTATACATGTTCATTATATATTTGTTATAAATGTTAAGATGGTGAAAATAGTATGTAATTTTATTTAGTCTAAGTTTTAGTACCATAATAAATAAAGATTGTGCAATAAATTCATTTCGTATATAATATTAATATTATATTATCAATCTTCTTTATTGTGAAATAAAAAGATCATTTGGTGGATTTATTCTTCCAAAAGGCTGAACCCCAACCTTAAGGACCCCCCACACCCCGGCCCGACAGAGAATGGAGACAATGCATCATTAACAAATATTGCAAATGAACTCCCACAATATGGTAATTCTAACATTTCTAGAATATACTCGGTTAGAGGATGTTCTACATAAGCAATTTTCTCTGATGCTCTCTTATACCAGGAAAATAAATAAAAGCCAAGGGCAAAAACTCTCAAAAGTGAGGTTGTTTTTGAAAAGGCCTATTTTTAACCATGGTCAATTGTCCGTAGCAATCTTTAGAGTTAGTAATCTTAGGGGTTTAAAATTTTAATTTGTGGTGAAAATGTACCATTTCTAATTACGACTAAAAATATTATGTACAAAGAAGTTTTCAATAACGTGTAATAAAATTGCAATGTTTATTATTTCAAAATGATTTAATTTTAATATATTATATTCTCTTCTTATTATATTATACCGTATATTTTATATACTATATATATGGCCGTGCATCGCACGGGTACAAATACTAGTTATAGAAATAAGTGTACAACTATATATATACTATATATTTGTTTTAAAAAAAGAATATATTACACACACACACACACATACATACACACACACACATATATATATGTGTGTGTGTGTATAATTGTTTATTTACGTACATATGTGTATATCTCTACAAAAAATTATTATTATTATTATTATTATTATTATTATTATTATTATTATTATTATTATTATTATTATTATTATATAAAATATATTTTATCTTTATTTTTTTTGGTATAATATATTTTATCATTATAAATATGTATTATTAAAAATAAAAATAAACATATGTGTTTATGATTTTGTAGTGCACGAAATTCCTAGTTTATATATATATATATATATATATATATATATATATATATATATATATATATATATATATATATATATAGAAGAGCGCTCATATGCGGCGGGGTCTTACGGTGCGGCGGTGCGGTCAAATTCCAGAATACACCAACAATGTTAACAATATGCACCAACAGTGTGATAAAAACACACCCCAATGAAATGTAATAAAACATCACAAAATACACCACAGACTCAAAAAAACACACCATATAACTCACCACCCCCAATGGTGTATTTCCGAACAGTGTATGGTGTTTTTACTCACACCTAATGGTGTGTGATTGGTGATGCAGGGCTCTGTTTACTCTGTTTTGTGTGGTGTATTTCCTAACGTTGATGGTGCATATTTGGTGAACTATTGGTGTTGCCGCACCGTAAGAAATAACCGCACCGTAAGACACTGCCGCACCTAAACCCGCCTCTATATATATATATATATATATATATATATATATATATATATATATATATATATATATATATATATCTACATTGCCGTATAAAGAAAGAAGAAAATAATAATAAATATATGTGTATAAAACGTAATTTACGTGTGTGTATATATACTAGTTTTTTACGCGCATTGCGCGATTGGGATAATGCCCAATGTTTTTTTTTTTTTTTTTTTTTTTTTAAATAAGTACTTTAAAGTATATCAAGACAAGATTATATTGGAATTGTTAATGCATAGATAATTGAATGTTAAATTGCGTATTTAAATAGGCGATTCTAAGATTACAAATGCAAGATAATATAGTCAAGATTGATTATAATTGTCAATAAAATAATTGTATAGGTATTGTTGAAACCAAATACGGGACATAAGGGAGGGCAAATAAAAATTAGGGCATAAAATATTAAATAAACACTAATATTGAAGAGCTAATTGATGATTGCCAAACAATGACATTGCGAGATAGTTTTCCACTTCAATTTGTTGTGTGATTTGAATACTCTTGTTGTCAATAAATCTCCCAAGTAGTTAATATGATTGACTTAATTATATATTTTTTAAAACAATTATTATTATTATTATTATTATTATTATTATTATTATTATTATTATTACATTATTATTATTATTATTATTATTATTATTATTA